AGAATGACAGATTTTGAAAACCTATTTTTAGATTTTATGTCTGTCATTTTAAAGGGAGAGTGTTGTTTGCAGTTCCAAAGTTGTCTTTATCAATTGCTCTTGGATTCTTACAAAAGTGAAAAGAAAAAATTGCTTCTTCAGGATTAAAGAACCCACCCCAACCATTCAACTTAGATTTTATTGAGAAATGTCGTCACTACTTGTATTGATACTAATAATATATATTTTACATGTGTCTTTCCCATGGGAAAGAATTTGTACCTCAAACTAGTGATTCTGTCTCATGATGTATACAAAACAAAATACTTTCTTATGAAATAAGTGGTAATCCTGATTTTACGTATACCTTAGTTGGTTTGAAAAATAAATTAACAAGATCACTTTTAAAACTTTTGTAATATAGTTTAGATTTCTATAGATTTAATGCCATTAAAGTAAAAAAGAACACTTTATAGCAGTGCTATAAAGAATAGCACTTTATTTCTTTGATCCTTAGAATATTTTTACTTAAATGTTGTTTTAAGACCTCAAAGGAAACCATGAGGGCCAAAATGCCTCATGCTGTCAACGCGTGGATTTAAACTAACCTTATATTTTGAATTTTGCTCCCTGCTGTGTTCAACCTGATTAAGAACATTCTTTTTTTTTTTTTTTTTTCTTTTTTAATGTATACAATTTAGCACTGGATTTGTAGCAGTGGTTAGAGGTGACATTGCAGAACAGATCAATTTAGTCTATTTTTTTTATTAGGCTTTCAGATTGTAAATAATCTTGGTATACTGCTATATTTTCTCAGATGTTCAAATTTAAAAAATGGTTGGACCCTAATTCCTAATACAACAGATATTGATGCATGTGCTTTTAGCAAAGATTAGCTTTCCCATTGACACATGTGGCATTAGCTGACATTTAGTTCAGCATGTACTTTCGCAGGAATGAAGCCATGCCCCTTTCTTGATAAAACTCTATTGATGTCAGTGTAAGGTTAACTGAAAAAGCTCAGGAAGTCCAGATAAATGATGCGTCTCACTGATGTCCAAATTAGTTCTGATTTTTATTTTATAAGTATGAAGAGGAATAAACTTCTCTATGTATATAAAATCTTTAATTATATTTTAAAGTAAGTATTCACAGGAGAAGTCCTTTTCTGTCTATTAGAATTGCTGTTTATTCTGAGAAGCATCATTGGCCAAATTTTTAACTGTGTTCAAGCCTAGAAATGTGCCTTTTGCATCTTATTTCTATATAAATTTCCATGAACCTCACAGTGTGCATATATCTGTGCACACATGCACAAAATACCATAGATGATATCAATGATAGTGCTTGACTGAAAGAGTATAAAAATATATTTTTCATTTCTTAGATTGAAAAATTTTAGAAGGAAAAATTTTAGAAGGTCGCAGGATAGTTCCCAGAAGATGGGGAGAAACAAACCAGACTAATCAATTAATTACAATAGCAACAACAATAACAAAAATAAAGAATTATTTTATATTGACTACTTTGGTATCATTTTGCTGCAAGGAATGACAGCCATCCAAAAAAAATCAGGATATCAAAAAAGTCATGAGAAAATCTATTATGTGAACATGGAACATATGCATATATAACATCAATCAATGCATAAAACATCAAGCCTTATGTAGCTTTTTCACTAACAACTTGTTCCTTTTTGGTTGATAGGACTTAATAGTACATGGTGTCTCTGAAATGTTTGCCCAAAAAAGGTTTGGCTTAAAAGAGTTATCAATCAATTTTTGCTATGCTCAACTCCTTAGACTTTGTGTAATTTCTCACCATAATGGTTGTTAATTCGTGGCTGATGTCTCCAGTTTATATACTCATGTAACTTGCAGTTATTAGTATAACCTGTAACCCTATGCTAATAAAATCAGAAATCCTGACTTATTTGAGGTAGGTGCTATGTAAACATAAAATAGAGCAGGTAAAGCAGAAGATCATAGTATTTAAACATATTCAGGGACCTCTTTTTAGTTTGTATCCTCATGAAGTAAATAACAAAACACACAGAAACCTTGGATCTAGCTCTTAAGGTATAATGAAATAAATGCCCTTATCCAATGAGTTATAAACTGTAAGAAAAGACTGGAGTTCTATTGGATGGTCTGTGATTGACTTCAGCCTTTTTTTCCTGATAATTTAATTTAACCTAGATCTTGTAATAAATACATTTATTGAAAGTATAAAAATACATGAAAAATAGGTCTTTTCACCCATTTTTCCATGTATGAGGAGGAAATGTGTTACTTTTGGTATCTGTTGGAGTTTTCCCATAAACTTCAGTGATATCAAGGTCCACAACCTGTATTTATTTGTTTTGTCTTATACTTGAACAAAATCTTTCAAGTTGTGGGGTTTTTTTAAAAAATCTTTGTTTTGCACAACATTAAAATGACAACATCCAGGTGATTGTTGGGACTCGCTTATGGTCCCAGCTGCAAATTATTCTCATGTTCAAATAATGCCTTTTCTTTAGGGAAAAAAATCTATCAAAAACTTCACTGAAACAGGTGTGGATGCTCCTCTCCAGAGCAAGACTGCAAGCAAACACCTGTCAGAGCAAGTGCTGCATTGCTACTCTTTTGTATGCTGGAGATGGCAAGGAGGCCGCATGGTTGGCCTCCTGGGCTCAGGAAATGTGTAGGTCGAACTGCCAAAGTGTTCTTTAAAATTGTCTCAGTTGACTTCTAAGGAAAAAGGAAGCTTACATTCTGGTCATTAGTTTATCATCTTTACCATCAAAAGTTTACTTGAAATAAGGTCACTTTATGCCTTTCCATTTTTATTTTCCCTCCTCTTCTGTCATTTCTGTCTTGCTTCTATGATTCACTGTCATTCTGCCAGTAATTTAGAATTCATTAATTTTCCTTTTGTTCCCAGCTGGTCTTTTTATGCTCTGTAGTTACTGTCCTTTAATAAACTAGGATTTCTTAACTCTGTGTTCACATTTTTCACTTTTACTTTTCACTCCATCACTTTTCTATAGAAAGCTATTATGTTTTCGCTATGAATTTCCTTATTTGCCCTGAATCTCATTACAAAGACATTGATCCTCCCCTACATCAAAACTGAATTGTACCTTAGTAGAACTCTGACCTCAGTAGACTCATACAGAAGGAAGCCAATTCATTTTGCTTGTTCCTGGTTATCCTTTTCAGTTTCCACATTGCTGATTTCTCTTTAATGTGAACTGATTCTGTCCTTGCAGAGAACATTCTTGTGTCATGCAGACACTTGGCATCTTAGGGTCTATTTTCCAGTTTATTGAATAAAGAACAGTTGGGTTCAGAACCGTACAAATGAAGCGAAGTGTGAACCTGAATCTGAATTCTTGACTCTGGTAAATACTGAACATGGGAGTGGCAAAAAAAAGCTAGGATAAGCATGCCCACTCTAGAACAAATTTATTAAATTACTAAATTAGTCTATTGCACTTCTGGGAATAATTAGAGTCTTAGTGGGGGTAGCCCCATTCCTTTAACAATGTTGTTCTCATTTTTTCTACTCAAAGAAGTGTTGAGCAATGCATTACTTATGTGCTTCAGTATCTTTTTAATGATTTCTTTTTATGGCACACATTTTTCCTTTTTTTATGCGCCACTGATTACAGTGCGTTTGAAAAGCATCAAAGGCAGAAGTTCTTTTTAAATCATTTATCAAGTTGAACACACTCAGGAGAAAGAAGGAAATATCTTAAAAAAAGTATTATTTTCAACCCTTGATTTTTGCTTCAGGAAAATCTCCTGAATATACAAGAGTAGGCTCCGTAAAATTGATGTCTCTGCTTTGTGGTCTCCTCTATGTGAATCAAAGTTGACAAAATAAAATAGTGTGTGTCCAGAGCCTCTTCTCCAGCTTTTTTAATTCTGCCTCGGTGGAGAATTCCTGTCAGCCTTCAATTTCTTTGATGTATTGTGACAAACACTGCCTTGCTGCGTGTTGTGCCCCTGCTGGAGTCTCCATGGGATTAGAGATCACGTGCCACTTTAGCTTAATGTTCTTGACCTTTTTCAGATGATTGGCACTGCTGAATGATTACTGCAAAGCAGCAATTATCCACTAGCTGTGTCACGTTTGTTTCAAGGAGAAAATGAATGTTATTTGAGATGAGTAATCTGGAATATGTGTTTCTGCTGAGTAAATGTGGGAGACCTGTGCATCATGAGCTATGAATCCTTTCCTGTTCTGCCTGCTTCGTGGTACTCTGTGTTCATTTCCCCAGTGCTCTCCCCCTCCTGTGTGCTTTACTGTGCTCTGATCCTGTTAGCCCACGGAGCTAAGAGAGCTAAATCTTTTGGGCTTGATTTGCAACATAAAATTCCTCAGGCTCAAATGTGCAACAGTGCCCCTTATTTAGTTATTTAAGTGAAATGGCAGAAAAAATGAAAACCCTCTAATCTACCATCTATGTCTATATGATTCTATGATATAAAGCTCTGTAGGGATTTTGCAGATAGTTTTCATTGCGGTTTTTTTTTTTTTTTTGACGACTTTTTTTGTTTTGTTTCTTTTTTTTTTTGTTTGTTTTGGCATTGGTGAAATTCCAGAAGAATTCTGTTAAAATTTGGCTAATAAATAGCTCTGAGTTTTGTAAAGCTCTGCATGCAAAACAAACAGTAACTTATCATGTCCATGCAGAGATGCATGAGTTTCTTAATATTAGTAATCTGGAGGACACCTCACAGAATACCCGTCCGTTCCTGTCTGGCTTGCAGCAAAGCTCATATGTAAAGATGCAAATTTGATTAAAAAGTATCTGATACTTCATTATTTGAGCTTTGATACTGATGTTCTCCAGTATCAGCAGGATGTACATCTGTGACACTGCATAATCATTACTATTCTAAGACTTACAGCTATTAATGTAATAATTATTATTCTACTGTTATAGTAATTATTACATCACTAACATTGCTACAGTTATCAATATTATTATTTTGCCATGATCCCTTTATAAAAGGTATCTTTCTTTATAGGCCACCGAACATTGTTCATTGGAGTTCATGTGCCACTGGGTGGAAGAAAAAGTCACCGCCGCCATAGGCACCGTGGACACAAACACAGAAAGAGAGACAGAGAGCGAGATTCAGGATTAGAAGATGGGCGAGAGTCTCCTCCTTTTGGTAAGATAAGTTCTCTTTCTGCAGAGATATCTTAACAGTAAATGCCAGGTAAACGTCAGTAACCATTTTAAGCTATGTGAGAATATTCCTTGCTATTCCAAAATAAAAAGTGTATGTGCAGAAATTGTGTCCAATACTCCTCTAAGTGCTGAAAAGTATAGTGGAAGCCATAAGATGCCATTTGTTAATGCACAATAAAAGAATATTTTTAAATAATTGGGGCCGATATAATTTTAGGTTACAGAGCAGTAATTATAAGATTATTTTAATCTTAATTTTGTATTATGTATAAGTTTTTGGAGCAAGTACATTATAAATGGTCATAACTGTATTGCAGAAAGTCAAAATGCTTAAATCTTTCACAGTAAATTATTCTGAGAAAGCAAAACAAAGCCAACTTTTTCAAACTTAGTAGATATATGTTTTGAAGAATGAACAATGAAGGGAAAATTGGCTGAGGTGATTCTGCATGGAATGGATTTAGAATATAAGAAAACCTATATTGAAACCATTTTCTTGGAAAGAAACAGTGAGTTCATAAATAATTAAAACACTTTTAAAAAGCAATGTGTGTATATATATACGTATCATGCCAGATTAAAAAGAAACAATTGAAAGTTACATTAGGCAAGAAGTGAGATGTCTTAAGCTATGAAGCTCTGTCTCATCTGGCTTTACTTAGGTGCCAACATGTGACACATCTTTGCTGAAAACTTTGCTCTGTTCTTTCAACTTCTAGAAACCTAGGCGTGTATCCTTCTTACAGTCAACAGTAAAAATAAATGGAGCAGGTCAATCCTGTACTTTTATTGTCTTTGACACTTGTGCATATGATAAAATGCTCTATTCATCACAATTTTCTATTAGTGAGAATCACAACCTCTACTCAAGAGAGCTCCGAGTGGAATAGCAGTAATATTAAAAATGGTTTTAAAGTGCATGAGTATGCTGGTCTTTACAGCACGTTATTATACAGGTACCTCTTTGAAATTAGTGCAGGGTTGTGTTAAGTCACATATTTACTTATAGATCAATGATAATTACCACTTACAAGATGTCTAGATCATGGCACATAAATTACTCCTTTATAATGCCTAAGGCAGACAAGATTAATGGCTAGGCCAGAAGCAGGCCAGACATCTTGAGATCTGGAATGCTAAAGATACTCTTTAAAATGCTCGAGTGATGACAGTGATGATTCCAAAAGAAGTCAAGGACAGATATATCAAATATTTAAAAACCTTTGGCAATACCCTTTTTTTATTTGAGGATTTTTTTTTCTCATCTATCCAGACTCTTGGATAGAGAGAAAAAAAATAGGTTTTCTTTCTAAACCTATCTGCTTAAGACAAGCAGGCCGTGTTCTTTGTAATTTGAGGACAGAAGGGGAAGAAAAAAGATTTCAGCAACTAGCAGGTGTAAGAAGAGGGATAGAGAAAATAGGTGCTATGAGAGACCGGCTGATAGAAGACAGTCAGAAGACGGCTTTGAAGTAAGTCAGAAAAGTAAATGAGGATTTTTATGATACAAGAGTAAAAATGACAATGTTCTGAAACAGAAGTGTGAAAGGAGATACTAAAAAATGTCAAGTAAACAATAACTAAATAGTAAAGCTGCTAGAACAAATAAAGGTCTGAGCTATTCAGATATGAAGTGTTTCAGACTGCTCAGTTAAGCTAGTAGGGGATAAGGTATTGCTTTTTTTGTCATAATTTAAAGCTGTGGGACTCAACTTTATCTGTTAAGTATCTTTGGGCGCAGCTTGTGCTCTGTGTTCCCTGCACTGGCGGGGTGGGATGGTGCATGTGGGGCCGGCCAGCAGTCTGTGCAGGGCCCCATGTGGAGGGCAGAACTGCCCACCTGATTCCTATCAACTGAAGTCCAGCTAATTTTTAAACAATTTTTTTTTTTTTTTGTATCAGCATGATTAGAAAACACCTGCATTCATTGTTCATGCATACCATAGCTGGAAGCTTCCCAGCAACCCCTTTGAACCATTAGCTTTTTGAGGGATATTTTCTGCGGTAAGAGTTTATAAACCTTTGATTTCCTACTGTTGCTTGTCAAAGGTAAACCATGTAAGCCATGTGTTCTCAGTGTGCTGTTTCAGAGTTTGGATACAAATACTCTGTAGAATAATTAGTGAAATAAACAGGGCTGTTGTGCTGGGTAGCTATGCAGGGGACAAACTGCCATTGGAGTGGCTTTTTTTTGTTTTGTTTTCCCCTCACACCTGTGCCTTGCTGCTTGTCTGCTGCCTCTTAATGAGATAAAGTTGTACAGGTGTTTCCTTTTTCCATAACGATGTCCTTTTGACTTGCAGGATTTTCAGATTTTGTGCCTTAGCCTTGGAGATTTATTTTGAAGAGCAGAAATTGTAAGCTAAGTGATTTCAAGATCTTGCTTGCCACCATCTTGCCTAATAATTTGTGGAAGAAATCCAGTGAAATTGGATTTCTCTTACCTAAAATGCAATAGTGCTCTTTTCTTTATCCAAGAAGTCTACTCTTACCAGGCTGTTGTAATTAAGTCTCTAGCTTCATGGCTGTTTAAAACTAGCACTGTCCCTGAAAAGAGTGGCCCTGTGCTGCTCATACCTTCCTCCGCAGCTTTCCTGGTGGTGATGCAAGTTCCATGGCTGCTCAGTGAGTTAAATCAGGGAACTCATTTGTGTGGAAACTGATCTGGCGAAACTCCCTATCTGTAGCCTGGAGCGGCTCCTTGGTGCCATTTGCAGGGATGGCCGTGTGGGCCAGCACCGGTGAGCCGCAGGGCCACCAGCTGCTGGGCGCACGTTGGCTGTGAAAGCATGGCACACATTGCCCTTGCCTGGTAGGGTCACACTTGCTTGGTACCCACATGGATTTTAGTGGCAGTTTTCGGTGTTCTACGTGTCTGTTTTTGCCTTTTACCAGTGAAACAAGTCTCTCCTAGAAGGACTTTGGCATGGAAATATATCTATGTTTCTGTTTAAAAGAGTGCAGAAATGGACAGTTTGAACTTTTTGCAGTGTGTCTTTAAGGCGAGCTTTTGTGTTGGTAAAGTGCCCACAGCTGTAGGACTGGGGCTTGCTTTTTGCCTCCCGTGGTGCCTTGCACAAGTAGAAAGCAAGGGGACCTGTGCAAGGTTTGGTTTGTTTCTCTGGAGGGGAAAAAAAAAAAAAAAAAAGGCTTTAATAATTTTTGTGATATTATAATTTTTTTATAATTTTTATAATTATTTTGTGAATAATTTTTGCAACTTGTGATACTGGATGTGGCAAAGGAGACCGAGTAGGCCTGGAATCTCCTGTCCAAGGCGAGTCTAACAGAGGACTTTGCACAGTGTTTCAGGTAAGGCTGTCTGAAGATACTGCAAACTGAAAGATGAATTTGCAGTGGGAGACTCCTCTCAGGTGGCAGAGAACAAGAGCAATAGGGGCTAGAACAAAGTTTAAGCAAAGAACCCAGCTTACTGTCTTCGGCACCTAGTCTCAAACTGTGGTGGTTTATTGATGGAAAAAAATAGTTATTTGGAAATAGTGTGGTGGTTAGGAGAATTCACTTACCCTTAAATGTTAGCTTCTTTTTCTGGAGGATGAAATCAGACAGAAGTTTGAATTTCTAGGTAGTTGTGGACTAGATTTGGATTAAAATAGTGTATCATAGCAGCAGGTATGCAAATGTAGCAAAAAAGCGAGAAATAGAAGCTTGGGAATTGTTCATATTGTCAGAACCTAATAAGATTGTTTGTCTTAGCCCTGAGGTGTAAAGAGAGGTGTAAAATGGAAGCAATTACTGTCCAATGTAGAAAATGCAGAGAGAGTTGCTTTAAAAGAAAAAAGATTAAACATTAAAGGATAAAGGAAAGGAATACTTTTCCTTCAGCCTCAACACCTGACTTTAAAGGGCTTTTCAGAAATGTGCGGTGTGTTTGTGTCCTGCTCATTGTTCTCCTTTCTGTATATCCAGCAAAGCTCTAACCTTTAAAGGGCCACATTTATGTATTTTTCTAACTAAAACTTCATAATAAGAATTATAAGTGACCTTATTTTATGCATTCTAAAAATTAGTGGTTTATATTCTTTGCAAAGAACTTACTTACCAGTAAGAGAAAACGTGGTAACTACTAAGAAGTTACCCTAAGAACTGTTTGTGTTTTCCATGGAGGCCACTCTAACAGGCTTCAGCCATGAGAATCCGTGAGTGCAAGAAGCTGCATCCTTGCCCTACAACATCTGCAGCCCAGCCCTTGGGAACCAGGGAGTGAGGAATCTCATGTGCCTGGTCATGCCCCAGTGTAATGTGGAGACCCTAGTGGCTGTGACCCAGAAGCTGGGAAATGTTGATGATCAGAACAACCCTTTGCTACTGTCACCCAGAGACTGCCTGAATTGCCTTGGTGGGGGCTGGGGCTGCCCCCAGCTCCATCCATGGCAGTTTGGACTGTTGCCCCCCAGCTCGGCAGCGGCTCCCCTGTCCACTGTCTTCTGCCTGGCCTGGCCCAGGCACCATCGCTCGGTCTCTCAGCAGCTGCCTGCGGAGCACAGGGTCCTCTTTCAGGGTCTTGTGCTGCTTAATGTGTCTTCTATGTGCTCCCAGGAGCTTGATGGTTTTGTTAAGGGGATTATGAAATACAGCTGTCCTGAAAAGGAGCTCTCTTAATTCTTTCCTTCAGGCTGCTAAACTAGTTCAGTATGTGTTGCCCTATGCGGAGCCTGTATTTATGAATGCCTTTACTGGCCCCTGAGAAACACTGGCCTACTAATACTTGCCTTAGAAGCAGGTTCTCAGCAGACTTAAAAATGCAAAATCCTGTTCTAATGATTAACCTGATGGAGCAGCAGTTACCAGGAGCACATTTAAATATCCTTTATGGTCTTAATCTAAGTGCAGAGGACAAAATTTGGGGTACATTTAATACATGCTTAAGGCTGTGTTTCTGCTTGTGTGTGGATTGGGCAGACTGCACGTAGCCCTGCCTGAAGGCAGGACACTTGATCTCAGGAGAAATCATGGCATGTGCTGTGATGGAAGTGGATTTCGCACGGAAAGGTGAAGCGGAGCAGCTTGTTCCCTATGCTGAACTTGTGTGGAGGGACTGAGGGGGATCTCGCTTCCAACGCTACATCCTGAGTCTTGTTTTCACCATGTTCCTGCAGCCCTCACCCAGAAGTGCTGTTGTGCTCCAGGGGAGGGTGAGCAGGAGAAGTGAGACACGCAGTTTGCAAGACGGGATGGTGGCATGCGGCGCTGCTCCTCCCTGCTGGTGTTTGATGATGGAGCACAGGCTTTTCCTACCTCCATCTCTCTTCCCCCGCCCCTCCCCAGGTTAGGTTACTAGCTGTACTGGCCTTCAGCACTGTTGTTTTCACATGCCATTGTCCATACCTTGCTTTTAGTTCAGGGATGTCAGCGACTTTATGGTGCGAGGAATCATAGCAGTGTGCCAGTCAGGTCCCTTCTGCGGCACGGAATCCCAGCGGCCTCTTCATTTTTACCCTTTTGATGGTGCAGTGAAGGTGCAGCATTTCTACTGCCACAGTTTGGAGGTTTTGCTTGGAACCCCTTAACAGGCTTCAGCTTTCCCAATACGAGTAGAGCACGTGTGGCTGTGTAGCGCACATGATTTTGGGATGCCAAAGATCCTTTGGCTGTTCTGCGCGAATGCTGCATGGACGAGGAGTGCTGCAAGGTCAGACAAAGCCAGCACTGAGTCTGGGAGGCTCCCATGGGCTGGCAGAGTCACAGCAAACTGCTTCAACCTGCCTCCTGAGGCAGCTCCCTAGAAGCCCCGGTGGCTGTGTACAGTGCTCCTGCCCTTGCTGTGGACCAGTCCCCTCGCCTCCTGGTTCCAGCTGGTCTGCAAGTGCTTCCTGAGCACTCAGGATGAACCAGTTCCTTGGAAGCATCATCAGCTGCTTTTTGTGCAGTTTACTTCCACGTTGTACCTCATTTCTTTGTGTTCTGATGCAAAACAATGGCTGTGATAGAAATGTAATTAAACACATTGGTCCCATGCTAATTTTTAGCTTAGTCTAGATTATTCTCTTTTTATTATTTTTATTTTTTCAAAAATATCAATATAAAAAGGGCGGATTTTTTTTTAAACCCTGGCTGCTCTACTTGGAGTAGGAATAGAGGACTGATAATACTCAGGCCAATTTATGTTTTCCTAGCCTTGAAGAATTTGAGTTTCCTATTTTGCAAATATTATACCTTTATACAGGGGATTTAGTTGTCACAGTTTGACAGGGCGCAATTGAAATATCCTTTTATAGTGATTTTGATTCACATATTATTCATTTTACATATAAAACATTTATGACGTATTTGGTATTTTTCTCCTAAGAGTAAAAGTCAAATTCATGTGGTATTGCTCTTAAGAGTAATCCTGTTAAGTCAGTTTTGTCAATAAAACAAAGAAGTCTGATTTTTTTTCTTTGTATTTTGCTGCTGCTGTTTAAATTGTCCTTAAAATAAAATCATCAAATTCTAAATTGGATGACATTTTCTTTGTTTCCTTCTTGATGTCTGAAAATCAAGGTGTGCTTTCCGTATTTCAGACACAAATACAAGTTACCCGCAACAAAAAGATATCCAGAACCTAGCAAGTAGTTTTGCTAACAAGACGGAAAAGGGTTATGTGCCTTTTTTAGCACTTCCATAGATTTCACAATGCTGTTAGTAAATTTGTTGTATGTTACACAGAAGACCCAGAAAGAGCGAATCGTAGCAATAAGGTGTTTCCGTGTTGCCACTTACCCGACTTCAAGGGATTTTGAGGCATTTCTGAACGTCTGCTTTCCTTCCCACGTTGAAAATGTGTTTGTATGAATATAGTAATTGTCATAAAGCTGGAGCACTGCTGTGCAGTGCTACTCAATATTGCTTGACAGTAGCTGTTGCTGTGAATTAGTTCCTAGTGCTGACTTACCGAGTACTGCATGTTCCTGGCATTGCCTATTCACAGACTCTCTGCAGTCCAGCTCTTTTCAGATGTAGCTTGTTTTTCATGTTCTGTTACTAATTATATACTCCTGTCCTTTGTGAGAAGATGTTTCATTTAATTCAGTTCTTCTGGGAATTAGCATTAATAAGTTGCCTGCTTCTTTTTGACCAAAATGCACTCGCTAAGTCTCAAATTAAATCTTGATGCTTCTATTTACATTATCGTGCTTTAGAATGTACCAGCATATGGAGCTAAGGCGGGGGGGGAAAGGCAGAGAGAAGCTGGAGGAGATGGTGGATCTAGAGTTGTGGGAAGTTAGGGATAGTCTTAAAGGAAAAAGACACTTGAACAGTGAGAGAAGAGTAAAAAGAATAATAAAAGCAAAGTTATAGTGGAGGAAGTTACCTCTATTGTTTAATGATTCACCAAAGGTAATTTCTGTCCCCATTAGAGACAGCCCTCCAGAGCTCCCAGTATTACCTGAAGTGTCCCTCTGCCCACTTCCCCATATTTCATCCTGGCTTTCTTTTCCAAGCTTTCTGAGAGAGTAGGTGAACTTTACCATGCTGTATCTTTACATGTTTCACAAAATAGACCTCGAAAACTGTCAAGTATCTTGTAACTACCATCTATGGTAGCTATCCAAGCTACCATGTATTTTTGCAGTTTCATTGCTCTGAAGGTTTTCCACAGGAAGAGCAAGATACCTTTATTGTCAAAAATTTAACCTACTGTATCAGTTACCCGTTTTGCTATTTTTGATTGGCGCTGAATTTGCTCTTCAACCTTATCTTAGAAATATGTTTGTAAAACATGTTTCTTCATTAATACAGTGTTCAAGGAATTGCTGAGTTGTTTTGCTGGATAATCAATGTTTCAGTTGACTGGCAGCTTGAACCCTGTCAGCTCTGCCAAAGGATTCCTGGTTCCTCTCAGAGCTCTGTGGTGCATTAACAGAAAAAATAACAATTTCCAGACAGACTGTTTTCTATCCAGAGTTTGTTCAATTGAGATTTGCATCTAATAAACAGGGATTTTTTTTTTTAGACTTGTAGCATTTGAGCAATTAAAACTGAATATACAAGAGGAATAGGGTGTCTCTGAAATCTATTGAGTGATCTTTGGTGAAAATATTATGAAATGGTGATATAAATTTAAAGGGAAGGCAGACAGGAAGAGTAAAATGAGGACAGATAAATATCTTGTTCATCTGCAATGGCCTAATCCCATATAAGTCTTTACCAAGGGTGGAGCCAAGGTAGATGTATCCAATGATGTACTATTTTCTAAGTTCCTAGTTAAATACAGAACTTTAAGAGAGATTTCTCTGGGGACTTAACAGTTTACTCTTACTAGGGAAAACAGAGCAGGTAAATTTAATATACCAGCTTTGTGGATTGATCTAGAGCTCCGTGTATTTAGGCTTAAGATGTAGCAAAATATTTTTATAGCAATGAAGTAAATCACTTATCATCTGGATCTATGCTGTTAGCTTACTTTTTTTCTGACAATGATGGTTTTTACTTCCATTAGTAGATACTTCTGTACATTGCATTCTATCTTTAGATGCATTTTTTTCATTATCAGACTAGATAACTACAGTAAAACAGCTCTCAGTCTAAAGATGTTTATGTGCAAATGCTTTTAGAACAGAAGTATAATCCTGTTTTATGTGTAGCAGTGAGTGATATGGGTGAAAGAATCTGGATACTCATGAAATTTTAGTTATATGCTTACTCAAGTCAGTAAAATTAGCATACTGGACATGATAGTTTTATTTTTCCCCCAGATACCCCCTCACAAAGGGTACAGTTTATTCTTGGAACTGAAGATGATGACGAGGAACACATTCCTCATGATCTCTTCACTGAGCTTGATGAAATTTGCTGGCGAGAAGGAGAAGATGCTGAATGGAGGGAGACGGCAAGGTGAGCGTTTCTTTTTTTCTTTTTCTTTTTTTTTTTAAGCTATATGTGGCTATTGATTGTTGGTACATTGAAGAGAGTTTTCAAACGTATGACAAGCACAGGAAGAGATTTTGGATGCAACAGTTAAAACCATAATATTGATCTTCAAGCTCATAGTATTGCTACAGTATTTGTCATTTCTCAGAACCATATTTCTGAGTCATATTTTCATCTAGATTTTTGATATGTAGGTCAGAATGAATATCAGAGAAACAATAAAAGTAAACATATGTACATTACAGTAGTTGGTTTTATCCATACTTCAGCTCATTATTTTCAGAAACTTTCAAACGTTGTGTTACGTTTGACTTCTCAAGAAAGTGGTATTTCCCATACAAAAAGACTAACGTAAGGAATGGATGGCTCTTGGAGCACTTGAATATTCGCATATTCTAACTTTTAATGAAAGGGAACTTTTGGGACTTGAATATTCAGTATTAGATTATTTTGTTTCCTCAGAATTACTCCAGAAAGAATTATAAGATTGCATTTCTACTGGGGGAAAATAATAAAGCAAAAGGTTTTTGCACTTTTTTTTTCATTCCTTGAGCGCTGAAATGAGAGAATCTCTTGTTTAGTGTCATTAACTTTCATGTTTTTCTGAAATTCTTGACTTGCTTTTCTTCTTTGAACCTTAATTCCCCCTTCTCTTGCCATTGTTTACTGACAGTAATCTTCAAAGGTGAAAACTGTCCTTGAATCACATCTTTGCTTTAGGTAGTATAAAAAAAAATGTAATTTCTAAAAGGATTTTGTGAGGAACTACTTATATGAGATGTTCTTCAGGAGAATGGCAGTTATCTTTCCCTTTAATTTTCCTGCTAATTTATCCTTTCTCAGAGAGCTACAAAATTTTCTGTGACCTTCCCTTTCCTTATGTGCTTATAGGAGGGACAGACAGAAGCTAAGTATAGATTTTTACATGTAGAACATTCTCAGATGGGGCTTGTACTGCAAAATGAGTGTAGTAGTGTTCCTAAATAATCTTATTAATATTCAGAGAGAGAAAATCTAATCAAGATAATCATCTGCAGTATTCTTATACTGATTATGGATAAATAGGACTTTTCTATCAGTTTCTATCAGAAAAGTATCAGTTTCTGCAGCTCTAAAAAAATCACTCTTAATCCACGTATTTTATTTTTCATGCAGAGAGATAGCAACTTCTTTAGTTCAAAAAACACAAAAATGCTTTGCAAATCATGAAGGAATTTTGTCTGAAAGATTAAAACTGTTTTTTTCATTAGCATAAATAGCTAATCAAGATAGGTCAGTCTAAATAGAATTTATTTCACCTCCTCCTTTCAAATTCTATGTACTACTCTTCCTATTCTCATTTACTGAGTAAAGGATCAAAAAAGTGATATAGAAACGAGCTGAGATGGTTGAAGAAGAGGAGATAAAAACCCAAACAAGAAAATTACATCTTGGAGTTAAGAAAATACAGCAATGAGGTATGAACAGGTGAAAGTCCAGCAGAGCTAGAAATAGACTAAGTAATAGTTAACTTATAAAACTTTTTTTTTTTAACTGTATGTGTAAGAATTTATATAAGAAGAAAGGAAGGAAGGAATGGGACTGCTATTCCAGAAATAAATGGTTTTTAGATTGTTTTTAGTTTGGATTCAAAATTCTGGGCAACACTGGATGTGAGTTGGCTGGTTATTAAGAAAGGATATGGCAATGAAATGACCATATCCAAAATGAAAGCAAAATTCAAAGTGCTTTTATCTGTGCAAATGAGAGGGAGAAAAAAAAATCCATCCTGGAAAGTGCAAAGAAGGTCAAATTCATGGATTTTGTAACTTGTGTCTTTCCATGAATATATCAGGTGGGATGTGGTACTATAGCAAATACAGCACCGCTATTTGGAGAAAAATGATGTGAAAAAGTATATACCTGTGAGCTGAATCTCAAAGGAATGCAAGGTTTAGAACAGTAATTATAGACGTGGAGCTAAATGGAAAATTGGATAAAATGCAACACAATGGTGTATCATGTCAGACTAACTTGATAATGTCCTTTAATCAGATAATTGATTTTATTTTTTGACAAAGGAAAAACAGTACATCCAATTTATTTGTTATAGTAAAGTATTTGATATGATACAACAATGAGAATTTACTACTTAGACTGTGTTTTAGTGCAAGCATTATGTTACTAGATAAGTTAATTATGTTTGTAGATAAGTTAGTTATTGAAGAAGTAGATAAGAAATAGATAAGACTAGTTATTGAAGAGATGCAGTAGGTTGTGCAGAAAGCTGAAACAAATAACACTGAAGGGAGTGACAGCAGCTTTTCTCAAGAATTAGCCTTATTTAAATAGCTTTGACAATGACACACACAAAACTAAAATCAGGCTGATAAAACTTGATAAGAAATTAGTAATTACTGTTACACTGGCAATTGCCAAGGATATCATACAAAGAGCAGTGTGGTTTTGAATAAAGGGATAGAAATGGGATGATATTTAATATGCAGGATCGCCTTAAATGTAAAAAAATGTAGTTTAGAAAGTAAATTATTAATAGTGAGCAGTTAGATAATAGATGTACTGTGGAAAAATCAGCAGTAAGAGTAAGCAAAGATATCCTGCCCTTGGAACTAAGCTTTCTTCCAAATATATTAAGTGACAAAAAACTTTAGGCTTGTCTCTTCTGTTTTGTTTCTTACAAGCTTGTTTACTTTGATTTATTTTCTAATCAGTATAGGCAAAAGCTTATGTAGAAACTGTTAAAGATCCTAAGAGATTACATTAATAACATATCTTGGCAGCGGTCTGTGCTGCAGACACAGAGGACTGTAATTGTCTTAACCATCTTAAACTTAATGTTTTATACCAAAGTGTTGTAATTGAGTGTATAGTGAAGCATCTATGTATGGATTACTTGAGATCCTATGCTTAGATGATTCTTCTAAAATTATTTAGCATAATTTTAAAAATCTTTTTGAGTTAGCATAATATGAAGATGAGGCTGTATTAGAAACACTTTGAAATTCCCACGCAGAGACAATCAAACTCCTAGCAGGATCAGAGACATGGGCAAAAAGTAATAAGCCAGGACTATGTATGCTAAATCTAAAATAAAATATGAGAGGAAAAGGATGAAAAGTGAAAATTGTACATAGTTCATAGTCTCCTAGGAAGCAATAGTTTAAGTAGGAGAATTAATGCAACACATCATTGACATTACAGCTGCAAGTAGGTTTAGCTTATTTTTAGCTTGGAAACACGAGGGCTATGAATAAGTTAGCAGCTGCCTTTTCTTTGGGAGCTCAGGTGCAACTGCAAAATCAAAAAATGAAGAAACCTTTTTTCTTTTCCTTCCTCATGTACTTCTTTGTAACTTTGCTGAGTTGCTGGAGCTCATCCCTTTCAAACTGTGGCTTTGAAACTGATAGGGGTAGGGTTATGGAGCAATGGAAAAGCCAGAGGGGATAACCTAGCTAAGCCTGAAGAAGAAGAGGGGCTTGCAATTAGGAAGATTTGAAAACACGTGCATGTTAGATGGATAGGAGCAGGACGAGGGAGGTGGACAGGTATGTCTAATGTGTTAGTCTACTGCAAGGGGCTGTAACACTGGAAATCACTCTGCTATACGGATCTTACGGCTCTACATTTCCCAGGAAATAGCTGTGAAGGTGCTCTCCAAGGGTGAGCCTGCCCCTCTTCTCTGCTTCCCAGTCTGTATAACAGGATACTGAGAATAACAGGGTGCTGCTGCTACTGAATCCAGGGATAGAGGTTTGGTCCATGGCTGCAGCTGTTCAGACCTTGCCAGGTGGGCAGGCTGCGTGATCCCACACAGTAACATCTGTACTTGGAAGGCTTGATTTTAATTTGAAACACTTTTTGCTTATGCCAACAAAATTTCTGGATATTTTTAGTTAATCTGTTTAATACTTTTATATAGTTTATGTCACTAAATAATTTAGAAAGTGATATCAGAAAAGTCATCTGGCTGGCTAGTAACAAGACTTTTATTATGCCAGTTTCTTGTGTCTTTGAACTTCTTTGAGTCTAAATTTACACCACACCTGAGAAGAGAAGAATGAGACTCAAATAGACACGGTTCTGGAGTGCTATTTCATGCCATTGATATGGCTGCATTGACCTGAAACACAGTAAGGTCTTTGAAATGCTGTGCCCAAGTGTTAAGACACCATTTATGTGTCTATGTGTGTGCTTATTTCTGTGAGTTTTTCTCTTCATTTTAATTAACTGAACTCTTAAATGAAAAATAATGTAAAATTTGCATAATATTTCACTGCTTTTGTAAACAGCTTGGTGCTCTTAAGTACACTTAAGTTCATAAAATTGTCTTTTGTGAAAGAAAAGAAGTAGGAATATGCCTGGGTAATTAGCTGAACAATGTTTCTTTACTCTGTTGTGATTAAACTCTTCTTTTGGCTTACTCCAATATGAAAACTTAAAGGAAATCTCTTGTGTACTTATTGTTGATGAATTTACTTTTTCTCTGACCCAAATTCTCACTCATAAACTCTGTATCCTTTCCAATTGCTCTGTCATAGAAGTGGCACTATATACCAAAGAATTATCCAGAGTTCTTGTAATATGCAGTAATTCCTCCTTAATGTACTTCCCTTTTCACCTCTGTGGTCAGAATTCATCCTCAAAAGAAAAGATCAAATATTACGTTATGTAGAAAGAAGCAGGGGGATTTGGGCATATTTCCTGCAAAATGGAAATCCAAAATATTTTACCAGTGTTATTTTGATATCCATGAAAATAATGTATGCTTTATTTTTTATGCATAAAGGAGTTCTAAAATTGCTTGTTCACGCAGGTGGTTGAAATTTGAAGAAGATGTGGAGGATGGTGGAGAGAGATGGAGCAAACCATATGTTGCCACATTGTCACTCCATAGCTTGTTTGAGCTGAGGAGCTGTATTCTGAATGGCACAGTTTTGTTGGACATGAGAGCTAACTCCTTAGAAGAAATTGCAGGTATATAATGATGCTATGCTTATTATTTACTAAAATTAATCATAAAAATCAAGTTTTAAGTTGCTTACAAGAAAGTTGTTGCGGAAGCGTCAGTTCTGTTTAGAACATATTGAAAAAGAATCTTAGCATTTAATACAACTTCCTCTATGTTTGCTTACATAGATTTTACTATTTTAGAAAATGATCTTTACATGGAGGAGAGAATTAAAATAGAGAAGAGAGCACTCTGAGGATATATTTCCTTCAAGCTAATAAGTGTTCGGTTCCAGTTGAGCCACTTCACATAGTGAATGTTGCACGTACTGACTTCCACGGACTGAAGCTATCGTCAAGCTAATTGCAGACAATTTATCTTAAAAAAAAAAAAAAAGTCATTTAGGATGTTTCATCATAATTATGTAACATGAAAGCATACAGATGGAACCTTTACAGTTTTAAAAAATACCCATTTCTGAATTGCGCATGCAGAAAAAATGTTTTTGAAAAAGCATTAGCTTCTGTAGTGTGTGCATTTTTTTGCAGTACTGATATACTCAGCCAGTAAAATTTTATAGCTTTTGAGGACTGCAGAAGCAGAGAGCAAGAGAAGGTAATGGTTGAGCCTAATCTCTCCAAAATAAAAATGAGATTGAGATTGTATTCCCGTATTCCTGCTCTTTCCCCAAAGGCCAGATATAGCTAGTTAAAACAGGAGACTTTTTGGTTGTGTATTTGTTGTGATCATAGAGCACGTTGTTAGCACAGTAAAGTACAGAGGTGTAGTACAGAGCCTCAAAGTGGCATGGCCCTGCCAGAAACAGCCACTACGACTTGATCTGCTCATTTCCCAGGATCATCCTGAGGACACGGAGCAAAGAGCTCTTACGTTCATTAGAGTTGCTAGAGTCTGGTTCCAGGATAGAGAATTATTTACTTCCTTCCTCTCCCTAGGATATAATGTTTCACATCTCTAAAAATTTTAACTTGCTTTCACTTCCATGGATTTTACAATAATTCTGATACTGGTACTTTCTCAATCATACGATCAAGGGTTGGCTTTTGCACAAATACTCTGTAAGATTTATAGTGTTCTGCATGCTACAAACTTTGCTTAAAAACCAAGCATGAAACAGTAGGTAGTAAAATTAGGAAAAGAGCACTTGTACTGAAGAAGGGATGCATGAGCTGTTGTTTGGGCCTCGTCTTAGACACAAAATTATATGTTTTCAGTAAATGTAAAATATCTAATCAAAGATAGAAACCTTTTCTTTTAGGTAAGGGTCCAAAACTTGAGAAGAGATTGTAAGGAAAATGGCTTTATTGGCTGTATGCAAATGTAAGGCCAGATAAAATTTATGTTAGATATTTAAATTACCAGGTAAGGCAGATATTGTCCAGTATACTATATATGATAGAGAAATTAAAATCGAATAAGCTGCTGGTGGCTGCTTTCTGAATTCATCTTTTCCAAATTATTTATGTCAAAGTGATGCAAGATATTATTAATCCAAATCAGCAGAAACTTATGTGGGTTTCTATTGTGCTGAGATCTGATTCTCTGATGAATCATGGACTGAATCAGAGCTTCGTAATTTGTCCTGAATATGATAAAAGATAAACAGGAAGGGTAAAAAGCAGCTGCTTTGCAAAAGCAAAGGTGTTTATCAATATGTCACTTAATATTTGTATGTTTTTTTAAATAACTACACAGATCAACTGCCTGTGGTTATTTTATTGCTGTTTTCTTACATAGTATACTGAGACTGTCAAGTTTGAACTTTGTTTTATTTAAGTAGGTTAAAAAGTATTAACATAATAAAAAGAGCTCCAGGAAATTTCTTTTTTACTGTTTTTTTTGAAGATACAGGAGACCATAATGAATTAATTATTATATTTTCTTAATCTCTGGATGTTATCTGCAGTCCTATTTTTGATCTTTTGCTGAGTTAACATGTTCAAGAACTCCAGAGTTCACAATCTTAATTCAGTTTTGAAACTGTTCCAGGTATGGGTTGTCTGTTAGTGTGCAGTTTGGGGAACTGTTGTAATGCTATTTTGAACCAGTGCTGCTTCTGGAATATCTGGGTTTGTTGGTTAGGAAATCCAATTTCTTCTGAGAAAAAAAAGCTTCGTAATGAAGTTTTTGATTACAAGTGCACTATTTTTGCTTTAAAATATAGACTTTTGTGGGTAATGTTTGTTGCTGTATCTCATCTTGGGTAGTGTAAAAGTGTGAGCTGACACATGACAGGCTTTGTGTCTTGCTTCATCTTTAAGAAGGGACTTTCCCATAGCAGCTTTCATAAGCAATGACACAATTTTTCTTAACATCTTTGCAGCAGTTTCTTTTTGCAAGTGAGTCATTTTGAAAATTTTTGGTGTTATGGATCAGGCTTCTTCAAAAAGAGGTTTTATTTCCTATAAATAAAGTTGCTATTCTGTTTGCTCTGTGGATGCTTTCTACTATTACTTACATTGAGGTCTTGCTGTTTCTCTCTTCCTCAGTGAAGATCCTGTGCAATTTATTACTATAGTGCTGCGTATGTAACTTTTGCTTTCAGGTGCTTGCCAAATGTTACAAAGAGTGTGTTAGCACACATTAACACCAGAAGGAGAAAAGACTTGAGTAGTAGCACTGTCACACACGCCAAGATGTATCTGCTACGCATATTAGAAATTGGATCATCCCACGTTAATGTAACAGGCTACTCCTGCTCCGTATAAATGAATGCTGGATGTAAAGATGAGAAAGGACTTGTTTGCTCAGGAGAGTCTCTCCTGTCTCAGTTGTTACTCCCTGTTAATGCATATAGTCCTATTTGTTGCGTGCTATGCAGTCATCACGGAGTGTCTATGCCTTCCAGTTGTGTCCAACAGTCAGGGCTCCGTAGAATTTAAAGAAATGAGTGGCTGTATTCAGTGTTTCACTCTTGTGACTTTGCTCTTTAGCTCCTCTCCTGTTCAGCTAGTTCAATAATGCTCTTTTTTTTTTCTTTTTTTCTTTTTTTTTTGTCAGAGCTATGTGTCAGTCCCTGTGTGACAGGACTTGCTAAATCGAGTGTATCCTGTTGTTTTGTTTTATGCAGTGTTCCTGAATTAACTTTAATTTTCATCTTTCTGAGGAACAGTTCATTACTATTGCAGAATGTTTGAGGTTGGAAGGGGCCTCTGGAGATCCTCCAGTCCAACTCCTACAATTGAGCAGAGCCACCTAGAGCATCTTGCCCCGAATTGTGCCTATTGCATCTCTCCAAGGAAGGAAACACCATAGGCTCTCCTGGAAACCTAGTGCTCAGTTATCCCCACAGTAAAGAAGTTTTTCTTTATGTTCCGATGGAGCTTCCTGTGTTTTAGTTTGTGCCTGTTGCCTCCTTCCCTCTTGCTGGGCACCACTGAGAAGAATCTGGCCCCATCCTCCATGCACCCTCCCTTGAGATGCTTATACAAATGGAGAAGCTGTCCCCTCGGCCCCCTCTTCTCTGGGCCAGCAGCCCTGGCTCCCTCAACCTTTCCCCATAGGAGAGATGCTGCATTTCCTTTACATTCTTCCCATAATCATCTTAGTAGCCCTTTGCTGAACTTGATTTTCTTTTTTTTCTTTTTTTTTTTAAGTAATCTATTGATAATTTTGTGCATTACTATATTTAGACATATTTATTTTGTGAGAACGAATAAAGTGGTTGTGCACATTCACTGTCATTTTACGTACCTTAACACAGTTAGGGAGAAATGCGTACAATGTATTTGCTGTTAATGTTTTGCTATCTGGGCTGCATTCCAGTTGCAAATTATATTTCTGTAAATGCAGTGCCAGTCTTTGTATCCTTGAAAGAGTTATACTTAATCTGCATTGCTAAATTGAGACAAAGAATTCCTATTTGTTTTAGTCAAGGCTTTTAATCTGTAAACACGTATTCACTAAAGCATTAAGCCCCCAGCACTTAGCCCTTGAAAATGTCTTTTATTAAAGACTATGTTTTAAGACTTTAATGGGCTTGAGGTAAAATCTACAGAAGAAAAACATCTTTTATTCTATTTGTATGGCTTTCAGAACATTTTGTATTTCATCCCTGGAAACTGTTATTTCTGCATAAAAATATTTTGGCATCAGGCTGTTGTGAAAAATTTTAAATCATCCTGTCTTTCAGCATGTCCATTGTTTATTAGCTTATTTTTCATTCCAACTCTCTATTATTAAAAAATCACTTGATCTAAAGGACTGTAAATTTCTTTGGACAAGCACCCAGTTTTCTTTATCAACAAAGAGATTATTCATACCTATGATTATGATTTCACAGACAATATCTTGTTTTAGTAGACTTCTGGGATGAATTTCCATCTTCATCATCATACAGCTCAATTGCATGCTAATTCCTGACATTTTTCAAATTATTTTTGAAATTCATATGATGAATTTTATTTCTTTCTTAAAAAGAATTTGACTTCTTTGTTGACTTTTTCCTGTTTAAAAGTGCATTTTTTATTAAACATCTTGTAAGATTTTTCACTGCTGTTTTTAGTGCTTAAGATTCTTTTATCGTATGTCTGTACAGTGACTCCTATATCAATAGACTAGCATTGCATGCATGAGGAATTCCTTTGAACAGTTGATGTGGTAATATTTTATCGATCACTTCTGGTATAGAACATATGCTAAAAGGAAGTCTGAAAAATCTATGTAATCAAAACAATTTATTTTGGAACTTGTCTCTTCAGGAGATATTTGCCAGAAGCTAGCTGCACCATTAGAGAACTGCTTCACTGTGTTGTTCAAGTTGGCAGATGAAAATGTTCTCTTTTGATATTTTCATTTAGTTCCTTTGAAACCATGCAGACTCTCCAATTACCATCTGTTTTCTTTTTTTTTAAATTGTAACCACTGAATGAACCCAAAAGGTTCTTCTACTTAACATATGATGCCATTTTCTATCATTTGGTTCAAGAACTGTTCAGTCCAGCCTTTAATGGCAATACTTTCTTGACGCTATGAGTCACAAATCTCGCATTTTCTTGTAGTTGTG